GGCTCATGCCTGTAATCCTAGCACTCTGGGAAGCTGAGATGAGTGGATTGCTTTAGCTCAGGAGGTGAAGACCAACCTAAGCAAGACTCCATCTCTACTAAAAAAAACCCCCAGAAAACCCAGCTGGGCACTGTGTCAGGTGCCTGTAATCCCAGCTACTTAGGAAGCTGAGGCAAGAGGTTCTTTTTAGCCTAAGAGTGTGAGGTTGCTGATGCTACAGCACTCTACTGAGACTGACAAAATGAAACTCTGGCTCAAAAAAAAAAAAAAAAATTTAGCCAGATGTGGTAGTGTGCATCTGTAGTCCTAGCTACTTGGGAGGCTAAGGCAGAAGGATTACTTGAGCCCAGGAGTTTGAGCTGACAGTGTGCTATGATTGTATCACTGTACTCCAACCTGGGTGACAGAGCTAGACCCTGTCTCTAAAAACAAACAAACAAATAAAGTAAGTGAGGGTAACCATTATAGTAGAAGAACTGGTATGAACACTCACCAATCACAGCATGGATGTGGGTCAGAACGCTAGATATTAGTAACACCTGTATGTTGGCAGCATTTGGGGGCAGGCAATCACTTTTTACCAACTGGCATAGAAGGCTTTCAATTCTCACTCTGTTGCCTGGGCTAGGGCAGGCAATGACATCGTTGTAGCTCACTGCAACTTCAAATTCCTGAGCTCAAATAACCCTCCTTCCTCAGCCTCCGAATGGCTGGGACTATAGGCATGTGTTACCACGCCCAGCTAATGTTTTTATCTTTTATTTGTTGTAGATAGAGTGAGGTCTTGCTATTGCACAGGCTTCAGTTCCTTTTTAACAACTGATACAGTAACACCAGTACAAGCTGGCTACATGTGATCCCAGGCTGTTAGCATGGCAGCAGCACCAAGCTGTTATTCCATGTCCAGCACTGCAAATCACACTTCATCATAGCTCCAAGGTGAGTATTGTTATTGCCTTTATTTTACACATGACAAAGAGACTTATTGAAGTTCAATGACTTGCTCAGGTTCATTCTGCTTGCAGTATGAGTGCGGAGATTCAACCCCTGGCCTACTTGCCAACAAAGCTGTGCAGCTTTTTGCTGTTCCATGTTGTTCCCAAGGCTATCCAGCTATATAACATTAAAGGGGAAGATCAAGGTAATAAACTGTAAACATTAAGGTTACATCTCGCTGCCTGGTGAATGTTTTCTTTCCTTAAAATTTCCAAACGCTTTATATTATTATTATACCGCTTGACAGTTAAGCTAGTAAGGAAAACTGTATCAAGAGGAGAGACTTGGTAACAGCAAAGATTCTTAAACAATGGAAAGAGTTACTGAACTAAAGTTAAACTTACTATGCATTTTAATGCATTTCCTCCTCCCCAAACAGAATACTTTTCACCTGCCTGAAATGGTTTGACTACTATTCCAACTGAATAAACAAAGGCACCTATTACAGCTCCTTTCTTACGCCAAGATTCTACAACACATTGTCAATCTTACATGACAGAAAAATTATCAGTCTAAAAATTATAGAGAAGCCAACGCAGTCATTCATACATTCAGTTAATATCTACTGCTTGCCTACTATGTGTCAGTCATTTGTCTGGAAAACCCCAAGTTAGGCAAGAACTTTGCTTTCATGGCGCTTACATGGCAATTTCAAGAAAGCAATTCCTTCTTGGCCTAGCAGGTATTTATGCCGCCTATTTTTACCCTAACATCACTGTGATGAAGGGGAGAGAGCAATGACTCCAGGCCCAGGAGCAACAGTCAAGATCATACCTACTGGGGGAGAGGTGGGCTAGTCCACCTGAGAGCTTCGACACACATTTACTCCCACCTGGGCCAAGAACAAGAGTCATATAAGAACCTTGACTCCTAGTGAAAGTACCATGACTCCTAGTAGACAACCTGGCCCTCAGTCATTTCCATATCATCGGCTGGGATGTCATTATTTCTGTAGGTCCCTTAGGTAAAATAAGATAGACACAAATGATTGAGAAGACAATCAGCAGCAATTCCTGAGAGTTAGCCCGTTTTGACTCTCACTGTTAAAACCTATAGTTTAGGCCTGGTGTGGTGGCTCAGGCCTATAACCCTAGCACTCTGGGAG